CAGTCAATAAATCATGCAAAAAAATGAAAGCTTGTTATCTCACTGCTTCACCCGAAGTAACAATTTTTAAATTTGCATTGTTCCTGATTTCAAAATTATTATATTTCAATAGAGTATTTAAAAATATTTTTAGAAAGAGGTATTTAATATTTATGCTTAAGAACATGAATATTCAGCTGATATTATATACAGATAGTTAATGATAATGTTTGTAATGCTTTTATTTATGGGACCACATATATTCTTCCCTCCTTTCAAGAGTAATAGCACAAAATAAAATTACACTATCTTGTTTTTGTATTTGTATACTAAAATAAGCAAATTTTAATTAACATGCTATTAAACCATCCTTTGGTTTGAATAGTATATAAAATATAATGCAAACAATTACTATATAGCTGTGCACAATATACAGGCTAATTCTCTTTCATCACACTAATAATAAATCAAATATTTTAAAGGACTGTTTTAAAACTGAAAAAAAACAAAGGCCTTGTTCTTATTTTAAAAGACAATTTGCTAAAAGTCACAAAATGTAATGTTTAATTAAATGTTTCCTCTCATCTCTAATGTTCTTAAGAGTATTGTAGGTTACAGTATGATAGAAAGCAACGCTTTCTACTTATCTGTATTATTTTTATGGACATTAAGTTTAAGCCTGCTATCTTCTATCTATTTATACAGGAATAAACCCACTGAATTTAAATGAACTTACTTCAGAGTAAACAGGAATTTTTTTAAGAATACATTCAAAGGAACAAATCCACAAAATAACTGAACAATGAACTGGAATAAAAAAAACATTTGATGTAAGCACCTGGAGTTTGGAAAGATATATGGTTCAAATATAAGGTGAACAGGTTTTTAAAACAAACAAATTTAGTAAGTGACAAAAATCCTTAGTACAATACAAATACATTTTACAATTATTTGAAAACTACATATCATTCTTCTAAGAGCTGGTCCACTTTAAACTGAAACCAAACAAAAAACCATGTTACTTTAATCTGTACAAATTGCATTCTAGAAATCCCTTTTAGCAATTTTATAGCTAATTTCTATTCAATTATTATCTACTTGAAAGTGCTATGTGGTACCCCTCCCCCAAGAAATTGGTGAATGCATCTGGTTCCTAAGTGAATGCAGTGTTTCCAATTGTTGTAACAAAACAAAACTGTTCTATAGCACTAGTAATCTGTTGATTTAGAGAAATGTTTAAATGGAGATGTAAATTCTTCTGATACTTGAGATTTACTCATTTAGCATACAAAATAGCAAATTAACTATCATGGGATTTATAACAATTCCTTCAGATATTTTGCCATTCTTTATAATGACCATTTCTTTCAATATGGCATCCTTTTAAATGTTTTGTGCATAAATACCTTTTGTTCATCACTTGTCAGCATCAACTACTATGCAGATTCTAATTAATCACTGCATGTAAGCATTCATTTTCCAAATTACCTAAAGCATGAGCTATCTGTCCAACAACAAACATTTCAACATAGTTGCTTATGTTATTCTGAGTAGTTTTGGGATCTCTGGGAGTGTTCTGCTTTTATGAAAAAAAGCTTCCATTTCTCTATACTTCCAAATTATTTATTGTATTTCTAAAACATCTATTATAAAGCTGCTACCTAAATTTACTGGTCTTCATATAACTTTAAATATAGCCTGATGTTTATCTTTCAGTCTGTCAAACTGTCATGTTTCTTTCTGCTACTGTGTAACATTCTATCTGTAAAGAAAAAAAAACACTTAACAGCTTTTCTTAATGAATTATATCCTTAGAATGCAGCACTAAATGTGTTTCTCATGTATAATCAAATGTGTACATTTACTAGACATGGTAATAACCTAAGGAATTCTTTAAGAGACTGAGGACTTAAAACACTGAATAGAACTAAGATTAATTTAGTAGGTATCTTTGAAAAATATTACATGCACTTTTTTGCCTGTTTTATATACTAAAGGGTTGTTTTTGGCCTGTTGCTGAACTAAGAATCAGGAACAGTGGCACTGCTTACAGTTGCAAAGTGAAATGGAAAGGCCTGATATGTCTGAATTACAACAGCATCTTACTCCAGAATACACACACAGCCAGTTAAATCTTTTTACAAACAGAATATTTGTACTTAGTTAGATGCAAATGTTGAGTGCTTAACTCAACATTTAGCTCCTGATGTGATTTTGGTACATCAGAGTTATGAAATTGGAAATGCAACATGCAAGCAGGACTCTGCATGTAACTAATCATCAACAGAAATATTATATTTTATATAGTGACATACATTTACTGAGGAGGAGCACAGCACATTTTGATCACAACTCTCTAAAATAGAGAAGTATTTACATTGTTGCATTTTAAGGCTGCTTTTAAAGCCGATTTTGAGCTATTCAGTGACCACAATAATAACGCTTTAAAATTCCTCACTGGGATGCAATGTAGTCCTTTTGATGGGAAGACTGTCTTTCTCATTCGCCAGAAATAAATCCATTCATTTGATCATGTAGTCATTGAGGGCAATACAAAACAAACCAAGTGTGAGAAATTCTATGTGATGAAGTAAACAAAACAAAACCCCAAAAAAGAAAAAAAGAGAGAGAAAAACCATTTCCATGACAAAAAGATTCTTTGTTCTTAATCTACACACCATATGCAAGCGTTTCTTTTTAGCATATCTCCTGTTCTAATCTTGGGTGACATGGCTACATAGATAAGACTCACTAAGCAAAACAAAAAACCCTACTAGTTGAACAATTTTCTTCAATTTATTAACTCACCAGAAGTGCCATAATGAGGCACTGAGGTTTTTCCTTGTTAACTTTTAAAGTATTCAGAGTATTGTACACATTCTTAAACCAAGCAATCTATCAATCCACCATGGATTGAATTTTTTTTTCTTTTACCAAAGGTAAATGCCTTGTTTTTATTGAACTACAGTACTCCTAAGGGTTTTAAAAAATATATTTTAAAATAAGGAATCTCTTGTTTTGGTTTCAACTATACTTCACGCAACTTGTTTCACTGCCTTTGTATTATTACCATTATCCAAGAAGCTGTTCAGATCAGCAGTTGTCAACCTTTTTCTTCTTTTCAAGAACTTTCTTATTAAAAAAAAGAGATGGAAGAAATTAGAAGTTCTGAATAATTGCCAATGTAGCAATTGCATTTACCTTAGGAAGCCAGTTCATGCTGCTCTAAGCTGTAACGCTGTAGTGATGATTTAAAATAACCAAAACTCTTTTGTGGCTTAGTTCTCTCCCCCCACAAGCCCCCTTTCCCCAATGAAGTAGTTTGTCTGAAGCATTTAAGAGTCTAATTTTGCTTGGAATATATATATATTTTAAATGAAAACAAGCTAGAATGTGCTGTTTAGAAGGAACAGAATCATTCTCACAATGATTACCTTCTTATCACTATCCTGATCAGCACAGAAATGTAAGTGATAACCGTATGAAGAAAGAATGAAATACTTCATTCTGCCTTTATTAATTGGAAAAAAAATGCAGTCTGAGGTAAAAGAAAAAATGGAATGGTAAACTTTAATGTCATGTGCATATAATCAAGCTTACAATTATTCCAGATTGTTTTGTAAAGACAGCTCAAAAACCCTTTGGCCCACTGCAGCTAAATCATTTTGAAACTAGACGCAACTTGTTTTATAAGCACTGTGAGCACGCCTGGAGGCTCTCTTGGCCTCAAGGGGCCCAAATAAATTCTTTTTTATCTTTTCAATAAGTGTAGAACGAATATCACATATTATAATCCACCTCAAATCCTAAGAAAACCAAGAACATCTTCATGGCAATTGTGGTGGCAAAGGAAAGCAGGCGTAAGGCAAGTTAAGCTCTGCCCCAGGGCAGACAATTTATCCACCCCAGGCCCTGACAATTATTCCCATGTGTCACCCATATTCCCTCCCTGACATTCAGAAGAGATATCTTTTGCCTTTGAACATCTGACCACCTCTCCTATTTATGGGACACACCCTTGCCTTTGGAAACAGCCCCCTATCCCAACTCCAGGCCTATTTCCAAAAATTTGGTGGACCAGAGCAAAACCTTGCTTCAAATAACTGATCCAGCACAATGTTTGCTGAGTGTGGGAGGGAAGACGCTGAGGAAGCCCCCCAAGAACCCTTCCCCCACTGCTACCTCAGGAATTACACTAAAGCCGTAATCCCGAATCTAGCCGGCCAAGCAGTAAAGCCCGCTGGCGGGGGTTACTTCAGAGTAAAAGCAGGAGCGAATCGCGAGAGATTTTCCCTTCTGGACGCGCGGCAGGCCGAAGGAGGGAGAGCCTCGCGGGGCTTATTTGTGGTCAAGGGGCAGGGAAGCCGCCGCCTCCATCAGGGCCGCTTCCGGGGTGGGGTGGGGGGCTGACACGACCGTAAAGATCCAGAAAGGATTTCACCGCTTGGGCCCCCTTCCTCAACTCTTCCGGCAACTTTCTGCTTTGCAGGAAAAGGAGACAAGCAGCCGGGGAACGGGTACGGCAGCGGGTGAGGGAGAAAAGAAAGCGGTTGCCTCAGTCGAAAGTAAAAACACTAGGAAATAAATGCAGATGGAAAGAAAAGGCGGCAAATCAAGGCTTGGCTAGGAGCGTCGGCGATAACAGCGGCGCGCGGGGGGGGGGGATTTTGTAGTACTTCACCCATACTCTCCAACTCCTGAGAGCGGGGAGGATCTAATGCTCCCCCTCTAATGTCCAGCCATAATTCAAGCACTCAGATGCACGCCGAGTTTGCCAGCAGGGACTTCGTGGGAAGAGAACACTTGCTCAGAAAGGGAGGGGGGAGGCAAAAAACTTAGGCTGAGCCACTTAACTTTACTCCCACCCGAGTTTCTCCTACCTCTTCCCAAGGGGACCGTCTCTGGGCTGCTCAACTCTCTCCAGATAGGAAAATCCACCAGATCCCGGGATTAGAAAACACCCACCACACACAGGCGCACGTACGCACCCGACTCCAGCCACCCAGTCCCGCCTGTCTTACCTTGTTCGGGAAGCACCTCAGCTTGTAGCTCCTCGTCGGATTTGAGATGCTGGGGCTTAGCTTGCTTTCGTCGAGACATACTGCTAGCTGAGGTGTCTTCTTGTGCCTGCTTTTTGCAGAGACATCGGCGAGAGGTGGAGCGCTGCGGGGAGGGGGTGGGGTGGGTAGGTAGGTGGGAAAAGACTTGGTTGCGAGGAAAAGTGTTGGTGGCGTCGGACCACCCCCTCCTTATTTCACCAGCAACAAATTAGCGGGGGGTGCAGAGAGAAATTGAATAAATAAATTCACAAGCAAGCCAAGCGGCGACGGCGGATCAGCCGGGCGGGGTATGCGCGGGGCTGTGCTGAGCGCGCTGCAAGATAGGGCGGCTGCGCGGCTCGCGCATGGGGCTCAGTAATTATGATTGTGAATAATGCATGGCGATTAATGATGCTGGGGGCAAGCGCGGATTGGCCCGGCTCCAGTGGACTCGGGCTGCATATGTAAATGCGGGAGGGCGTTCAGCAATTAGACGCTTCAGTCGGCCAAATGCTGCGTCTGCCCGGCACCAGCAGCGCCTCCTGCGAGAGGCACCGATTGCAACGGCAGCAGCAACCGAGGGACACAGGCGGCAGCAAAACACACGCACGCAGTCCAGGGGGACCACTTTCTGCGTGTGCATTGACTACACAACATAGGTGCACAAGCTTCACTGCTGGGAGAAGGGCAGGATATCCGTGGTTTGCTTTGGGTAGCTCTGCTCCCTTGTTTTCCTCGCTTTTCTTTTCTTTTTTTTGAAATTACATCACTCTTTGTCTTTTTTCCAGGTTCCTCTTTACCCAGAAGTTATTCTGCATCGCACTTAAGTTTCTCTGCGGCGCCTCTAAATGTCCTTGATGGGAGACATATATATATATTTATATGGGAGAATATATATATATCCTTGATATATCTCTTTTCTTTCGCTGCCTAAATCTTCATGTCCTATTCTCCCGTAGTTTTTTCTTCATGCCTGGCCCGGAAACGGCTTCTGTTTCTCTTGGGGGGGAGGAGGAGGGGGAAAAGTAAACAGCCAAACTCGGAGACTTTGGGCACTTCTCTGTCTTTCACTTCTTGCGTTCGTCCTCCTCCTTTGTGTAACAGCCTGTCTCTCAAGAGCCGCCTCGTTTGCGCCGCTGTAGCTGCAGCCGGTCACTTCCTGTTGTCCAGGGGTAGGAAGTTTCTGTCCCGCTCCTGTCCACTTCTCTCGCTCTGAGACAGGTGGCGAGGTTTCTCCGTGCCCCCCCCCCTCGTTTCGGTGCCACTCCTCCAGACTTGTTCTTGTCTTCCTTCCCGAGTTGCTGCGCCTCCCGTGCCAAGGACCTCGCTTTTGTTTGGAAAGAGACAATCCCGGGTCCCCGGCAAAATATTAAGAAAGCACCGACGACGACCCCCAGCGAGCCTTTGAGGAGTGGGTGTGTGCTGGTGGGCGAGGGTGTTGATTGTTGTGAGGCGGGGCGGAGGAGGTATCCCCTCGCCGCCGCCGCCGCCGCCCCTTCCTCCTCCCCGCCCCCTCCGCTTTCCTTCTCCTCCTCGCCGCTCCCGCAGCCTCGATTGGGTGTGAAGCCGGCTTGGCACACGGGCGCTCGCCAATCGATGCCTTCCCTCGCGCTGGGGAAGGAGGAATGCGCACAGCCAGGGCGTCGCTGATTTCGGCAACAGAAACTTTCAAGTTTGAGAGCGGCGGCGCTCCAGCGGCGGCTCCTCCTCCGTCTCCACCCTTCGCTGCTGCTGCTGCCGCCGCCGCCCAGCCGCCACTGAGAGCGCCCCTCAAGAAACCCTCGCCCACCCGTGGCTTTTGAGGCCAGTCGCTACACTCGCTCTCTTTGAAGAGGGAGGGATTCCCTGCCCTAACTTCCGACCCTTCGTAGGCCTGGATCCCCTTCCCTCACCCCGTTCCTGCTCTGTTTTGGTGGCTGTCCGGGGCAAAGAGGCGAATGAAGCCGGATTAGTTTGAATCGCTTCTGCCATCCAGATCCCCCAAAGGGGGAATTTGAAATTCAGCCACAAGTTGTTTTCTTTTTTCTCTCCTCCGCCTTTCAGGGAAAAGTAACGCGGAAGACACCCCTCCGGTACCGGGCTGCACCGCTACTACATCCACTGATCTGCTCGCCTGCGTCGTCGTCCTCTGAGCGCTCGCAACAAAAACTACGGTGCATCACCTCCTCCCCCACCCCCGCATGTTTAGGGTTTTTCTTCTCCACTTGTGCCCCGACACCCCTTCCCCCCACCCCCGTATCAGTGTTTTGCAATCAGCGCTTAATTTCGCTTGCTTGCTTGCTTTTGATATCGCTCCACCTCCGGTGAACCTTTTCCGCGAATGAAGGCGACGGACTTTTTCAGTCTCTCCTCTTCGAGAAGCCCGCTGGAGGTCAGGCAGCGAGCGCCCTCCTTGCGGAAAGGAGACGCGAAAAGGAGGGGATTTGTGGAAAGGGGTTTCCTCAACTACCTTTGGCTTTGCGTTTACTCACCCCCCCCCCATTTTATTTTTGCTTTCACATAATCTGTCGCTGGCCCTTCAGGGCATCCAAAGCTGGCCTCTGCCTGGGACATTGGGCTGAATGGATAAACTTTTGCATATTGAGTTCATCTGATTCAGCGACGTTGCTCGCCTTTTCTTCCCTCTGCCCTCCACCCTTTTGTAAGAAAACAACATAAAGTTAAGCTCCTCAGTTCGGGTGACCTGGTTTCTGCTATGACATTGCTTTTCCCTTTCTTCCTTTAAAAAAAATGTAGACACACACATTTTCAGATCACTTCAATATTTCGTGTTTTTGTCCTCCAAATCCAAAAATGCCAAAGCACACTTACTCCTTCCGCCCCTCGGATTCAATGCTTGGCTCTCTCCACCAAGAAAGTAAGCCCCCAGACAGCCTGCCTTCTTCTTTTCGCACCACCATGGCAATTTGGGGCGTGTATAGTCGGTTCCCAACCCACTTATTTTAGACTTTCTCTTTCACTTTTCTCTGTTCTGTCGTTTGTTTGTTCTTTAACTTTGGTTCCACAGATCAGGGTCAAGGGAGCCCAACACTGAGCCCTCTCGGCTGGGTCATTCCAGCATCCTTTCTCCTTAGGTGGGAGGCAGAAAGAGAGATGCGATTTCCCACGAAGCTGGGAGAGGAAAGAGTGGTGTACAATTCCGGGCGAGGGGTCTGGAGCGGGCGTTGTCACACCAACACTCCTTTTCAGTCCCGGCATGTGAAAATGGGGGGAAAGGGCATCCAGGTGAAAGCGGGCAACAGGCTATACTGCGAAGTCCTCTCGGCTGGGAATGGGGAATTCAAGCCGGGCTGGTGTTTCTGTCGACCACCCTGAAGAGGGCGGAAAGGGGGGCCTGGCTTTTTCGTTTGGCGAGGACCTTAAGCCCATTTGCGGGGAAAGAAGGCCCCTTGGAGTCAATGACATCCATTCGCAAGAAAAGAACTGAACCTCGCCTTAGCGCGTGCCTCAAGATACCCTGTGCCTCCTGAGGCAACAGATCTGGTGTTCCCAGTCGCCCTATCAGAACGGAACTATATACCCATTTCAACCCGGCCAGGTCATTTCTTACGGTCTCGAGAGTTTCCCTCCAGTCACAAAGGCTGCTCTTGTTTGGATTTAAGGAAACCCGCCTCCTTTCTCCAATGAGCAGCACGGACGACTCTTGTTTTGCTCCCTTGAAAACAAATTCCACTCCGATTTTGAGAGAAGTGGAAAGGATTTCTTAAAAAAAAATAATTAGAAAGGGAAACGGGGAAGAGCTCCATTTCAGAATGCATAATCTCCAACTGACCTTAAAAAGGAATAATGATCAGATTTGCGTGTGCGACATTTGCATAGTTTCAGATTGTAGCTCTTATATTTTGAGGTTCGCTTTAAAGCATACAAAATCTATTTGTTTTTTCGGGAGACGGGGAAGGTGAGAAGAAGGGGCATTCTGTGCATTTAAGGACTTCTGAAGTTTTGAACTCGCTTGGGGGCGGGAAGACAAAACAACACCCCTTCCTCGGATTTGGTGGGGGGTCTGCCGCCTCCAGAGGAAAGTCTTTTATGTGCAGGATCAGTCATCCTCTGTAACTCACACTTGCTTGCCCGCCGTCCCCTCCCCAAAACTTTCTCAGATCTTGCTGGAGAGCGAAACGTGCCAAATCCGGTGGCTTCAAACTTGAAAGGCTGATTTACAGCGCAAGCCTCTGCGTGTTTACTCGAGAGTAAATATCCCTGGATCCAACGACGTGTACTCGCTTGTGGGTATGAAGAGTCTCCTTGCAGGAGAAAACCACATTAGGCTGTCAAGAATTAAAACTTTATAATCTGAATATCCTTCCAGTCTGTTCCTCTGCCTGTACACGCGCGCGCAAGCACACCTAAACGCATGCATTTTGTCGCACAGAAACTTTTCTACAGCCTTCGCTTTTAATCTTTAAGCTGAAATAAAAGAAGCCAAATGTGTTCCTCAGTACAAACCTACTTTGGACGGTAGATTAACTGAACATCTGCACGCGGATTACAGCACCAGCCTGGACACAGAAAAAGAGGCTGACTAATCTGTAAAACCCAACCAGGAAGCATGCACGTGTAGATATCATTTGCATCCATGTTCCTCACCCCTCGAGAGGGGCTATGGAAACGCAATATCTTAATACTTAATAGGTACGGGGGGTGGGGAGGAGGAATCCACATCAAACCCAAACTTGCTTCTCCCCTCCCCCTGCAATTAAATCTAATCTGTTAATTGTCCTTCTTTCTGCAATGGTGTTTCCATCTGAAAAGGAGACACGTAATCATTTTGTCTGCTTAATAATAATATTTTTCCAATTAGGGCAGTATTTTATTATAACATTAATGGGGCACACAATTAAGCAGTTTCCGTTTATTTGTGCCACTGGGAAGCGGGGTGGGCGAAGGGCGGCGGCGGGAGGGGGGAGGAAGCCGATCTGCAAGATTGATTTCTCAAGAGGGAAAGGGCTAAAGAGTTTAATCTCCCGTGTGTATATGCATAACTAGCTATCTAACGCGAGACTCTGGCTGAAAAACCTAACGCCTTCCGAGAGACACTCACGTGTACCGAAAGTGGGTTTGA